AGCCAGCCACAGATCATTCCACCACTGCATGGTCACTAGGTTACCAAACCACTGACAAGAACAGACACAGAATGAACAATTCACTCATTAACCACAGCAACATGTCATTTAGTAGAATACATCCCATGACACACACACACACACACACACACACACACACACAAAAAACAGTTAATTGATGGCATAAGTTCACCTGATGGGCCAGTTCATGAGCGATGATCATCGTGATTCCCAGCTTGTCAGAAGCAGAAGACTTGTGGGGGTCAAAAAGAAGGCCTGATTCCCGGTGGTCAGACCGACACACACACACACACACACACACACACACACAAAAAACAGTTAATTGATGGCATAAGTTCACCTGATGGGCCAGTTCATGAGCGATGATCATCGTGATTCCCAGCTTGTCAGAAGCAGAAGACTTGTGGGGGTCAAAAAGAAGGCCTGATTCCCGGTAGGTGGTCAGACCCCAATTCTCCATCGCTCCAGACTGGAAGTCTGGGATAGCAGCAAGATCTACAAAGCAGATTATATAAATGGTGAACTCAGAAATCTGTCCTTTGCATTTTAAGTAGTAGACGAAATGCCTACGTGGAACTAACCCTGTTTGGGTAGAGGGTACGGAATGTCAAAGTAGTCATCATAAAAGTCGAGCAGCTTCACTGCAGCGTCCAGAGCAAACTCTGCCTGGTCGATCTTCTCTGGCACAGCATACACTGAAATCTGAATTCACATAAAAAAATTCAACGAGGAGTGTCAAAAAAGTAATAAATGATGGAGGTGGGATCTTACAGTACTTAAAGGCTTTGTTATTAACTCTGTGGTTTTAATGATATGAGACGGATCATCTTCTAACCTGGACTCCATGCAGACTCGTCTTGCTGATAGACAGAAAGTCAGAGACAATGAAGGCCACCAGGTATGTGCTCATCTTTACACTCACATCAAACTGGTCCTCAAACAGGCCGTCTGGCAGCTCTAATGTTCTCAGCTGGAGTAAAAAAAAAAAAAAAGTAGGATTAACAGAAGAAACAGTCTTCACACAGCAGATTACTCAAATTATAGATTTATTCAGGTTTTAGTCAGAAAACAGCAGGATTGATCAATGGAGGTTCTATGGATATTATAACAACACCTTAGGCATGTTTGAGAGGGCAATATGCTTTGCTTCTCTGCGAATCCATATGGAAAAGTTTGCTTTGAAGTCAGGTTCATCAAAACAGGGAAAGGCTGCCCGGGCACTAGTCGGCTCAAACTGTGTGGAAGCCACAACCCTGTGAATGTGAAGGGATTATTATTTATAAAACAAAATAATAATAAAAAGAGATACTGGCTAAAAATCTTGAGTTTTTACTTAGTTTCTCACCTGACGTCTCCTTTGCTGCTGCGGTACGTGCTTTTGTAAAATCCATGAAAGCTTTCAGAGAGGTTGGCGGCAAACTCCAGTTCAACTGAATATACATGGCCCCTCTTCAGCAGTGCATTATCAGATATAAGCGCAACCTGCTGGAAGTACGGGTACTCTAGCACCTTCAGGGCCTGTAGCTGACCTTTGTCTGAATCTAGCAACCTTGCATTGGAGATATGAAGATCCTTGCTGTGCAGTATGATAGTCCTGGTGTTCTCATGGACCTCAATTTGGATCTGCACCCATCCAGTAAAGTCTAAACTTGTAAGGTTGGGGTGGATAAGGAGATGGTAATGAAGGGGAGATACTGTGTCTGGAAGTCTCATTAAGTTCCATGGGAATGGTTCTCCATTGACTGATGTGGGGAATGAAGTGTGCTCTTGAGTGACTGCAGCCCAAAGGTGAACAGGCAGAACTATGAGATTCACAAGCAGAACAAAGCGAGTCATGGCTGCCCAGTACTACTTGGGAACACTGTAAAAGGGAAAAACGTATTAGCTCTGATAATACAATACAAGCTCAGCAAAAGATTGATTATTTTCAACGAGTTCTGTTTTCGCATTTGTTTATCCTCTTAAGACCCGAGAAAAGATTTTTAGGAAAAACATCATTTTTTTTCATGTCTTTACATTGTTTAGAGCAGTGTTTCCCAACAGGGGTGCCGTGTAAAAAATCATTTTTTAATATTTTTAAATTGCTAAAATGTTCAAAAAAGCATCTATTATATAATATCCATTTCTGATGTCGCCAATAATTAGAGATGCACCGAAATTTCGGCTGCCGAAAATTAGTTCACCGCTCAGGTTTCACTTTCACGTGGTGTGACGCTCTGCATATTATCCCGCTCTATGCGTGTGTGCTCCGCTCAGCTCCACTCGTATACCGTTCATGCGAATCAGAACAGCAAAGTCCACTCAAAAATTGAGCCGACAGCAAACATCGATGTAGTACAGTATTGTTTCTGTCTGCAATAGCCCTACTGTGTTGTAACATGGTGTGGTATATGGGCAACTCTGGTAACGCTGCCCTCTCATTCATTGATCTGCTAACCGTTATGCCCACGTGTTCTGATAATAATAGCTTTCTAGGACTAAACATTATTTGGATAATTGGTAAAAAAAAAAAAAGTTAAATATCTTAACCCTACTGTTAGACCTACCTGAAAAACTAAAAAACAATTTATTTAATTCGAAGGCCTGTCGTTAATTTTTATTTGTGCTATTATTATTCATTTCTTTATTTGTTCTTATTTTATAACTGACTGCTTACTTGTCATTTTTTATTCAATTCAAAGTTTGAAATCAAGCTATCTCGTGCTACTGCACCAAAATTACCCCACTGTAAAATAAAAAAAAACACTGAGTGAGCAAAAATTTGTGAGATAGCTAGTTATAATGGTAATTAAATAATGTTTACATATGTATAAAAGCCTACATTAAAATCTGTCATATAAATTGGTCTCTTCATTAGAAATTAGCCTACTGATTGCCACCATTGATGGACAAAATTTTTTAATAATATTAAAAATATCTGTATGACATTATATTCTGCAGTTCTTCCCTGTTGTACCGAATATCTATACTTTTCAAATTATCATATCGAAGTTAGAAATTCAAATATTGTGACAAAATTAATTTTGTAGGGTGCCACAAGTTTGTTAAAATTTCCAAAGGGTGCCGCGACTAAAAAAAAGGTTGGGAAACACTGCTTTA